CATCTTTGGTGGTGCAAATTGCTGAAAACAGTAATGAGTCTGATTAGACTTCATTTCAATTACGACAGCTTGTCTAGCAAAAAAAAAAAAAAAAATCTTTCCTTGATGCTTTGGAATCTGGCTACAAGGCATTACATGGTTTAAAAGGAAAATGCCACCTCTGTGTTTCCTTTCCACAGTTCAGTAATGAATAGAGAATTGTCCAAGTAGGTATCCAATTTATACTCTAGAAAACTGGATGGACATCACTAGAAGCACAATCCTGTTTGCTTAAAATTTGCAAAAGCTATCTCAACTAATATACCTAACTAGGGTCATTCTTAAGTTTCTTCTGCTTCCTTTATTTAAGAATGGAAAGCCAAAAATGAGAGAGAAAATTGAAGTGATTGTAACTGGTTTGTAGATGTTGTTGTGCATTCCTCTGATTAGTTTAATATAACTTCCAACTGCTTTATCTGTAAATCTTTTAATGTCACATAACTCTTGTGGCTTTCAAACTGCCATGGTAATTAAAAGTGTAACTTTTTAAAGCAATGTATTTTAAAAATGTTTTAAAAATCTAAGCTTCATAAATATGTGCTAGGGATGTCAAGGTGTTTTAAATGAATGTTCTTTATCATCTTAACTGAGTGAAGGTGTAAAATCTCTTCGTAATGGCTGACTCCCTATTAAATCATTTCTCAATACTACATAAATGGAGGAGGGTGGTTAATATAAAACACCTTTAAGTGATTAACTGTCATTGCTGCTGTTTGGTTATGCCACTAACATTCTAATGCTTCTGTGGGTAGTGGATATAATTCAGTGTTTTTTATCTTGTGTTAAGTATGTGGATGTCTTTTTTAATATATAATACTGTTTGACATAAAACTGGATAAAAGAAATGCTCGAGTAAAATATGGAAGCAATTACTCTGACTGAAGTTATGATAAAAGAAGAACACTAAGACTTGTACAAGAAAGATAGAGTACAATATTGCTGGAGAGATTATGAGAGACGTCCAGAGCAAAATGAACTAAACTAGTGCAGTGAATGTTAGAACTCTCAATATATAATTTTATGAAATGAAATTGCATGTGAGTTTTCAGTGATGAGCACATACTAAATATGTGATACAGATACTAGACATTAACATAATTAAATGAAAGTTTGACTATTATGTAATCTGCAATGTAATTGTTGTTTGCAAGGGAAAAAAAAGTCTAAGGTGAAATAAGAGACCATGATTTTTTCCTCACATAATGGCTTTATGCTGATGTCATACCATGACTTCAGTGATGACGCCTGATTTACATCAATGTGAGAGGAGAAACATTTTGATTGTTATTCCAGTATTTAAAATCCCTTTTGACTCTTTTGAGATGTTGAATAGCAATTACCACTCCTGCTCTTCCTTTGAAATCCTTACAGTTAATTGATTTATATATTTCTTGATGAAGAAGGACTTTCATCAGAGTGCATGAGCAAACATCCAGTAAAAAAGTGCAATTTTTGTTTTTAAAACATCACACACACAAAGTGCTGTTATTCAGCTATACAAAGTGTGCTCATAGTGAGCTTTGAGATGCTAATCAGCAGAGCTTGACTTTTGTTCCCTGCAGCAAATTTTAAAACTATTTCATCATTCATTGACTCCTTTCACAATAAATGTGTGGCCAAAATTATAACAGAAACAACATTGCTTATGGTTGTTTAAACTGTCTTCAGTGTGCAGCTAGTTCTTGGTATGATTCTTGCACAGATTCGATTCTTGGTTTGTCTTTTGAAGGCTGCTTTCAGAAAAGGTTGACTAAATACCTTTGTTACGAAGAGGGTTGATTTTTTTCATAATCACCAAATATAGTCAATTTATTTTTCTGTGTTTTTTAAAGTGCATTAATTCACCTCCACCACTTATATTTGTGTGCACAAGCTCTCTTTACACTTTATGCCTCTACACATGGCTCAACTTTTCCTCTGCAAGCTGAACTTTGCTCCATTTGACTAGGGATAAACAGCACAAAACATGAGGGGTTAGTTTGTGAGCTTGCTTGCTTGCAAAAATGTTGATTTATCATAGAACTGAATTCCTCAGTTAAGATGTCGTATTCATTCAAATAGATAAGTGCTAGATTATCAACCTAATTTAACAATATACTCTATAATGCAGTAGTCACCAAAACAATAAACATGCAAGTAATAAGCTCTTTCCCCTTGTTGTGATATTTAATTTTTAAAAAAGTGGGGGAAATACATAATTTAACTTAGTATTTCTAAAATGGTAGTTTTCTTTCATTATCTTTTTGCTTTTAGTCTTGTTTCTCTGTATTTGGGGGTAGCAGGAAAGAAAAGAAAGGGACCAGCAGTACTTATAGCTAAACCTAGAGAGTGAGCAATATCAGACCTCTGTTTTCATTTGAGTGAGTTAGCACAGTTCTGATGGCTAGAAAAGGTGTGCCTACCTTTGGAAGGAAGCACCAGGTTCCCTGTGCTAACATCATCTCTTATTAATATATGAGCTCTCATTATGCAATATGTTTACATTTTTCTTTGAATGGAAAGGCCAACAGAATAAATGGGCATGACAATATGCTATTTAAATTTGATTGTCATTGTGTTTCTTGGAAAAATCACCATATACCAGTTGTAGCCACTCCCCAGGTTTCCTGTGCTCAAGAAATATGTACAGTATAGGGAAGAGGATGGTGGAGCGTCTCTCCTACTCCACTGTTGCTACTAAAAGCTTGCTGCTCTTAATCCAGGGCCACGTCAGGAGCATTCTAAAGCAGTTTATCTTCATACGTCGTCTTGTATATAAGAAACAATGCTAACCCCTTCCCCCCTCCCGAAACTCATTTCATATGTAGCTTTTTCCACAGCCTTCAGATCAAAGTTATTTTCTTCGGGCTGGACTAAATTATACACAGGTCCCAGGAGTGAAGGACACTGAATTAATGCACTATGTCACCCAGTACTGGCTATAGAATATTTTTATCAAAGTCCGAGACACAACATCTTTTTACTGTTGCATTAAAAATTAATTCCTGGATTGCCAAAAAGAACAAAATGCATAAATAAAAAACAAATTTTGCAAAGGCTTTGTACAGTTTGGAGTCACCTTAAGCAGCATTTTTTAAGGCAAGTATTAGATACTTCTAAATAGACATTTAATCGGTATTTGTTCTCCTTTAGCTAATTAGCAGAGAGGTAGTCTAATCTCAATAAAACAACTGTATATAACTTGATTGCAATGGTAAGTATTGGAATTGGCCTTTTCAAAAGGGTAGGAATGCACTGTTCATTCTTTGCAGGGCCATGGGGTTATTGGCCCCTATAAATTTGTTTTTTGACCCTTGTTAGTTTAGTGTATTGGGTCAAAATTGACTACAGTTCATTTCAAACTTACTGAAATTGATCTTTGCCGTCACATACTTAGGGAGAACAGGTCCATGTAGGCAAATCTCTGGAATTAACCCTGTCTGTATTTGAGTTTTATACAGAACAGTGACTGAGATTTAAAAAAAAATCATAGTGGCATAAACTGAAGTTTGCACAGTTTGCTACTGATGTTAATTAGAAGTGAGGAAGCAAATTTTTCTAATATAAAAAAACAAAATCTTTAACCTTGGTCTGAAAACTTGACACTGAATGCAATGTCTGCCTCTGATGGTTGGTTTAAACAGAAATTGTTTCCAAATAATTTGAAAAAGGCATAATATAAATGAGTTAGGGTTTAGTGTCCATTAAAGCTCAATTTATCCTGCACACAGTTTGTCTGAGAAAAGCATAGTCCTTTATGGCAGTTTTAACCCCGTTTATCCCCATGCACTTGTGCTCACCTGTTATTTACACACACAAGAGAAGGTCGATACTGCAGAACAAGAGGGGTGCTCTCTTTTGACATAGAACATACATATTCATTAACTTTGCTGTCCCTGTGGGCACTTGTGGTATGTCCTGATGATCTTTGTATGACAAAAGGAAGTGGGGGTAAAAAAGGGAATTGCTTCAATAGATTGAAGATAACATGAGAACAGGTAAACGAGACATGATGACAAATGGGCTACCAAATGGTAATTTTAAAAGTGAACTGTAAGCTTTATACATGAGATCTCTGATCAGTAGCAGTGTATGTATAGATCAAAATATTATAAATAAAGACATCATTAGAAAATCAGAAATGGACCGAAAACCTAGATATGAACTATTAGGAACTCTGGGAATGTTTAGGTCTGGTTCTGAGCTTTGCATATCTAACCCATCAATACTGAAAATTCATTTTTTTCTTCCTCTGCTTGCTAAAATGTAAATTCAGGACTCTGTGTTTGCCCTGCAACAACTGATGACATGACAAAGGCAAATAAAGCAGTGTAAGTATTGTGACTACTCTGGTTTCATGGGGTTGTATTTCAGGGAAATTCTGGATCCTGAACACTAGTCTTGGAAGGGAAACAAAGCAGGAGATTACTTTCAGATATCCAGTTTAAAAATAGTTGTTGGTGTGTGTGTTTGTTTAAAGATCTCACAAAGCTCCAATTTAAGTCAGTGATAGCTTAAATGTCTGTTTTAGTAGGAGCAGGAGCAGACCCTAAAACTGCATATGTGTAAATAAATTGCTTTTATATACACCAGGAAAAAGTAACTGATAGCATATTCTGCTATAATAAAACAAGTAAAAACAAGTCTTACTAAATTGACTTTCATAGTTATCAGAATCTCTTGAGTTTCACTGCAGTGGTTATACTTCTTTTCATGGTAACAGAAGCATGAATGTATAGAAGGGTTGTCAGGTGGTATGTTAAATGATGTAAACTAGATTATGGGAATGGACAAAAAAAGTGAAATTTTTCCTTACAATTACAGTGGCAATTGTGCTTTCGCCTAGAACCCATTCAGAAATTATTATTGTGCAATGTTATTTATGCAAGGACCCGCACCATGTTAGACTGTTTAAAATTATGGCCTTTCCTCTGAGGAACGTGCAGTATAAGAAGATAATGTACCAATACAAAGAAAGGCGCATGCGTGAACAGTGACTGTGGTGATTGTCTTGTACCATTTTTTCTTCTTTATTTTGTAGTTGTTTTAAAGGAGCTTATGAATACTTGTGTGTTTTGTGGGAGTAGGGTTAAGAGAGCATTTGGGTTTGTAGAATTTTTTGAAGAAATGCACCTTTATATTTGTGTGTGTCAATCTTGCGTATAAAAAAAGAACTTGACAGATATATGCATAAATGGATTCACCTACAGTGTGTAACAATAACGAATCAATGCAGCTACAATTTAAGATAGGGAGTCTTTTGCTGAGAACAGAATACATTACACCAAACAGACACCAAAACAGAGAAATTGATATTTCCGAATTTGCATAGAAGATGAGTACAAAAGTGATAAGACATCAATTCAGTGCACAAGTAATATGTTTTCTACACTGACTGTTATTTCTATCTATTGGTCTATTTCAGTCTATGGTATTTTAATTTCATAGATCTTTTGATGTCATGGGATCTTAACTATACTTGCTAAAGAACGTTTAGCCAGAAATTCCTTCCTGTGGTTTTAAAAGTGCTGCTTTATGTAAATGAGAGGGGGAGTAATTTGCTGTAAATGTATTGTAATTTGCAGTCCTGAGGTGTGAAAGTGTGATTTAAAAGGAATAATCATTTGACAGTATTTAAATTAGATAATTGGAACACATTAGTTTGAAACTACACATTTTGAGAATCATTCTTTAACCACTTCCAAGCTCCTAAATGTAGTTTTTGTAGTTGTTTTTCACTATTATGTGCGCATTCCCTGTTAATGGATTGAAATGTTTGTGACACCTATTAAGTTGTAGTAGTTGTCAGGGCACCTGCTTAAAGTTGGAGTTTAAAATGCTGACAGCACTTTAAAATCCAGGTGTCCCAGGTTTCTATTGTGCGAGTAAAAATTAACCCTTTGACAAACAAAGTCTCCAAAGTTGGGCCCTGGTCTTGCCCAGTGATCAACATGGAGCTTTGTGTCTTTGCGGAACCCTATGAAATCAAGGAAGTTCTTCCCTATTTTAGGTAGTTTATGTTTTTGGTACCATGTTATTTTAAAGATTGAAGACAAGTTCCTCTACCCACCCATCCTGGCCATCATCCCAATCCCTGCCATTCCGCAAGAACAGATGATATTTACAGAATGTCAAAGTCCTTTAACTAATTAGTGTTAGTCTTAAAAAATAAGCAAGAGTTTTCTGCGTACTATCCTAAAGTAGAAGGGGAAGATAGTTGCATGAACATATCAGTCTGAAAAATTCATAACCCATTCAAATTGTTGGGATATGCTGAATCATAGACTAATTCTCCATCAAAATAATATGCCTTGCTAAAGTTTCTAATACAAATCTCACATTGAATCAAGAGAAAGGTTGTAACATAAATCAGTCAAAGTTCAAAGGAAGGCTGGTGCTTTGCATTTATCTCCTCTTACTGGATTCAACCCTGTGAGATGCTGAGGTCTTTTAACTTCTATTGAAGTCAATGTGGACAGAGGACACTCTACACCACACAACAGACACTCAGTATCTTGAAGCATAAGACCCCATGTGTATCTGAGATGCTTAGAAAGAAGTTGAATGTGTTAAAATGCTGTCAGCCTTTAAATTTTCTGCTTGCTTGTACTCAGTTAATTTTATCACAAAGCTATCATTATTTGCATATAGGTTTTATCTGTAAATCTAAAATAGCAGAAGTATACTTGCATTGTGGAATCAAGTGAATGAGACTATGAAAGTCTTATTTAATAAGTTTTTGCATTTTCAGATTAAATATGTAAAAACAGGAAAAAAAAGAATGACTGAACATTGAGTAAAAAGGGAATTGTATAAAAAAAAGTTAGCAATGATAATTACTCTAAATGTAGTCCAAATACATCCATATCCTTAGAATTAAGGAGAAGAAATGTAAAGTAATGCTGTCAAGAAAAAAATGCTTAGGATTAATATAGTGCCTACCCCTTATACGTAACATGTTAAATTATTTTAAATGAAATTTTCTATTAAATAGTATTCTGCATATAAAGAACTGTTGCCCTATGCATTTTTCTGTCCATGTTAATACAGTTCACACATTTATTTCATAAATGTTGATAAGATAGGTTTAAAAACATACAGCCTTACTTTGCTTTCTTGGTTTTATAATATTTAATCAACTACAAATATGCCCCATGAATGTGTGTTATTTTAGAATTTAAATTATGTTAAAATAATGGAAGCTCTACTCTGACTCATAACTATGCCTCATGATTACTATTCACAAAAGGAGCTAAGCAACAAAGTTTTTTATGCTAATTCAAATTAATATCAAAAGAAGGAAAAGGCTTCACATATATATTTCTTCAGTGTGTAATAATATAAAGTAAATATAACATGGTTAACAATTAGCTCATGTTTCCAAATAACACTAATGATTGTAATGCACTGAAATATATGCTCATGTTTCATGGGATGAGAATAGTCTTGTTTTCTTAAACGTATCTAATCAAAACCTAATTCTGCCTTTAACAGCCTTTATTAAATGCAGTGGTATTTAGTATGCATCAATAAATAAACTTTCAATTATTGTGCAGAAAGCACATCCAAAGATAACCTGACAAGATGAAGCCAATGGACTATCTAGCAATTACTCCATATAAAGAATTTTGATTGATTTGATAATTTTCTTAGTATCAGGGAGAATTGAAATGTCATAAAATTCAGTTGTCTTATAAGGAAAATTGGGTAGGAATATTTTAACATGCCCCAAATTTAGATTTTTAAATAGACTTTTCCATCTACTTTGTGAAAAAATGAATAAAAAAGGAGTTCTCTTGGGGGAAAAAAAGAACCCTAATCGTAATGACCTCTGTATTTGGAGAAATATTATTAAATATAGTTGTCTAACTTTTTGGGGATGGGGGTGTGAAGAGTATGTTTACATGTGCACAGTTATTCTGGAAACTATACTTACAAGGCACTGTACAATACACATTGCTATACTGTAGCATAGTGAATAGCTTATTTTATTTTTCTAAAGTGGCCTCTGCTTCTTTTCCTTAGCAATAGAGGCATTTTGCCCAAATTACAAAATGCACATTCATTAATGAATATACCAGTGTTTGCCCAAACTGCACTACAAAAGTCAAGGCTGTGTCTGTGCCTATTTTCCTTTATCTTTCTTGTAACTTTCACTGCTGCTTACTGCTGAATTGTTTTTCAAGATTCTTTCTCCTGGCACTCATTCATGTGTATCTAGAGAAGCATCAGTTTACTCAAGTTATTGTCCATCTATATATAACAGAAACTTTTCTGTGTGGTAGTAACCTTTCAAGCCCAAAAGCACAGAACATAGATAACATATGTATGTAGCTAGATATTTTACAGTGCTAATGATTTTACATGTTTTTAGGCAGTTTTGTGTTTCAGACATGTTAAAAAGACTTCAAGTAAATCCCACAATGCTTGGAGAATTTTGGATGTTGCCTACATATAATTCCGCTCTTAAGTTTCACAGCGGAATTTTAACAAAACTATGATTTCTGAGAAAGTGCTGCTGGTTCTTCATTAAAGCTACAAATTTCATAACTGAATGAGATTTCTGTAACTTTACCCAATTACATGATATACCTATCTTTTAAAAATCCAATGGTTGAAATGTCAGAAACAATTGGCCAAAAAAGATTAAATTAATTAATTCCAAATGAAAGTAATACTTCTGCTAATTACTCAGCCTCAAAACTGCATTTGTCAAAAGAGTTTCTATAGGCTATAGAGTAACCGGGTAATAGTTAACTGTCATTTTTTCCCTCAAATTGTCATAAGTGCTTGAAAAATGGGGGAGGGGGAGGGCTGAACTGGGCAAAAAAACAAACAAAAATCCCACCAGACCTAATCAGTGGCATGCTCATGTGGAATGAGATCTGCAGTATTTGTACTGATAAAATATAAGGCTCAATTAAGCTTTACTTTGCAGTTTTCAGGCTAAATTTAACTGATTTAGTGATTTGCAAATGAATACCTGTACGACTCCTAAAGATAAATAAATAATCCAAATGCAAATTAGTGCAACTGCAATAAAATATATTTGCAAATGAATCCTGTTGCTTTGTTCATTTATTGTGTAATTACTGCAATCCTTCCCACCTTGTTTTCAGTATTTCTTAATCATTAAGTCAGAAGCATGACAGCAGTGCCAGCCCTGGCGTGATTCTCTTTGACTAAAACCTTGTAAATTAACACAATTAGCACAGCATCATCCTGCTAATTAACTTCCAGTGTCTGGTGCAGTGGTTTTGCAAACAAGGAAGAAAGAGTCAGAAGGGAATAAACATGCCATTCTGTTACCAAACTGTGTGCTCTGTTAGGTTTAGCTCAGTGAGGCTAAGCTGGCCATGTCAGATGCCAGAGTCAGGCAATAAAGAGCTAAAGGTGTTGGGGGGAAAAACAGGAGGGGGTAGAAGCTGTCAAAATAGACCGCAGTAATTCAGAAGGGAGCTAGTGCCACAGATGCTTCATTTAGACTAGGCCTCCTCCTTATCAGAGAATCTGTGCCAGAGGGCATAAGACAGTTTGCAAAAATCACTTGGTAATACGAGGGAGATTAAGGAGGCCTATTTGATACAGCTATACAAAAACCAGGAATTGTCTACCATGCACAGGTAAGAGTTAGAGTGGTTATCATAATAATTGTAGATTGCTCTTACTGTGTATGATGGATTTAAAAAATCATTCTGTTGTTTGTAAGATTTTTTGCTTTAAAGTGATAGTCACACAGTGACATTTTGTTACTTAGTCTACTGTATTGAAAGGGCTGATAGTCAGCATTGTGTGTTTCGGAACTTTTAGGGGCTAGACTGCATTTCCTTTCTTTTTAAAGTACCTCGGAGGCTCTGAGGGGGGGAAAAAAAAGAAAGAACAAGCAAGGAGACCGACAGACAAGTGATGCTTGTTTTTTTTTCCAGAGCCTCAACAACTGAACTGAGAGGCAGAAAGGAGCCAGTTGTAATTCATACCGAGT